GTGTGTGTGTGTGTGTGTGTGTGTGTGTGTGTGTGTGTGTGTGTGTGAGAAACAAATCACGAGAAAGACAGAGACAGCAAAACAGGTTGTGTGCTGGGAGAAATAGCTCCCCAGCCCACCCATAATGCTTTTTCTCTCTCTCATAATTGGATTTTAAAAATACATACGTGGAGCGGCCCTTTATATGTGGTGCCAGGTCGACTCTAGACACCTTCCACTCCTGTTTTTTTTTTGTGGCATCTCTTTTTCCCCTGTTCTCTCTTTTCTCCTCTGTTGCCGTCTCTTCACACACTTTCACTGTTTTATCTCTTCCCTTTCACTTGGCCCCCTCCTCACACAGGCCCTCTCTCCCCCTTTTATCTTTCACCGTTGTTTCTTTACGCTGGTAGCAAGAACAAGGGGGAAGCAAAATGTCAATTGCCGCCACCACATACAGCGAGGTAGACAGAGATGCCAATTTATTGGACAGGGAGAGATGTAAGGGGGACAGAGGGGGGTGGCTACAAGCTGTTTTTAAGGGGCTGGAGAGGACAAGGCTCAAGCTGGACTTTCAGACTTGTATATTATGTTCTGAGGAAACAACATGGAAGACCTCTGAAGATAACACAAGCTTGTATTGCTGTGCTCTGCAGGGTTGTGCAGCTGATGTTATTATTGTAATTTTTTTCGAATGCACTGTGGCACTCTAAGTTCTTGAATTGGGTACTACTTCACTGTTTTGTTGCTGCGGTCTCATGACTGACATGGCCTAGTTTCCAAGTTGTTCCATCTTTATAGCAATGCCAAAAGCCATTAAGCACACTTTGGTAACAGCACAAGAAAAAACAACAACCTCTTTTTAAAGTCTCACTAATCTTTCTCCTTTCTCACGAGGCAGATGTCTCCTGTTTTTCTTCTTCCTGTCTCTTCTTCTCTCTGTGTTTAATCGCCACCCTGCTGCTGACAGTGAGCCTCTGAGTGCACCAAAACAATAGCAACGATAAGTTGCGGAAACAGGGTTTGATTGGAAATCGGTCCACTCTCGAACTCACGTGTCCCAATGTGCATGCATGATGAGTTGTCAATTTCCCACATGCATTCAATCTCGTACTACTTGTGATATTCATATTATTCTTGCTGTGAAGAGTAATGGTGCCTGACAGGTGGTCCAGTGCCAGTTTGTGTGTGTGTGCATTGTGAAGCTGTTCCATTAAATCACAACAGACAAAATAATTGTGCATTTTGTTATCTTTAACTGTATGTATAAGTGTGTGTGTGTGTGTGTTTGTCTGACAGAAACAGTGTGTGAATTTAACAAGCTGAATGAATTATAATCAGACATCTGGACAGAGACATGTGAGGCTTATTACCGGGAATAATTAATCCATAAACGCAACCATTAAATCCACCCCCCTGCCTGGATTTGCTGAGGCACACAAACGCACTTACATACAGTGAAAAAACACACATATATAAATCCACACAAGCACAATGCACACCCACTAACTTGTGTTTCTTGAGCGAGAGCCCCATGTGCTGCTTCATCTGCTGCATGCCGTGGTAGTCGGTGTAGATGAGGTCAAAGGGCAGCGGGCCGGTCAGCGGGCAACTGCCTCTGCCTGGGGGCACACCGAGGAACCTGCAGCACACACACACATAAAAGAAAACGCAGAGTTTAGACAAGCAGGGAAACATGACCGACAGAGAAGAGAGAAGGTTCACTCCGAAAATAGTGTGAGCAGAAAGACTGTACCGCAGGCATTCATTATTGACTTGGACGAAAATTATTCCAGTTTAGTTTCAGAAAGGAAGGGAAAAGAGAAGGTCTTCTTTCTGTTTTTAATAGTTTACCCCTTTTCTGGAGTATTTTTATGTAGTAAAAAACCTACCAGTGGAACATTTATTATGGCGTTATTCATTAATGTATTATAAAAATGTGCATTAGACCTTTATTATTGTTTTACTGCAAGATGACATTTTTCTATTCAGTGTTCACGTAATGCTGGATGTCAATGTCTACCAGTCCATTATTCCATCACTGGTCATTTGTCAGCCCGGACTCTAATACTAGAGAGTCGAGTCACAGGCAGTAGCTAATTAACAGGAGTGGAAGCTTACAGTCCACATTGTCATTAATTACTGCCGCTGGGCAGTAATCAGGTAAAGGCCAATCTCACACCAATTACATTTAGATGTGCTGACAGTGTTAGAGATCTTTATTATAATAGAGACCCGAGATGTGATACCATAATGGTTTTCTCTAAAGTTTGTAAAGTAGGGATATGTTGTCGTACTACTGCATTTTTATGGACGATAATAACCTTTTAATGAGCCTGTTCTCTCTTTCTGTTGCTCTGCAACTATCACCTTTTGCTGCTTTGTAAAACATGTAGTGGGTTAGTGTTCAACTCGGTTACCGTCGTACTGTAAGAGTAATAGATGCACTTATGACTAGTATTTCTCTTGAATACCTATGTTGAACACACTTATTGTAAGTCGCTTTGGATAAAAGCATCTGCTAAATGACTTGTAATGTAATGTCATTTAAAGCTAACCACATGGTTAATTGGCTTTGCTGGCTCCAAGTTTGATGCTTATTACATACGTTTAATAACAAGTCAACATCTCGCATATACATAGCTGAATAGACAAAGAGTGCCAACTCCAGGAAAATCATTTTTGATTGACAGCTGATCTCTTTAGGGCAGAAATATGGGAAGTACGTTTTTGAGAGAATCGCACCAGAAGTAAATATTTTTAGAACGCATGCCCCTTGAAGAAATCAAAGCCCTTAAGCCTGGAGCTGTTAAGCTCAACCCGCTGAGCGACACAAGTGAGAGAAACAGACTGTATGGGGCCAGAGTTGGAGCACAGCATGAAGAGGAATTCAAACCCAAGATGAACTGTAGTAGTTGCGCTTGAGGTAAGTCTTTGCATTGTGTGCCAAACTGATTAAGACCACCAGCAGCATGGCCTTCAGAAAATCGGAGTGACTGCGTGACAAAGTAACCTAACAAGGTGATGTGAAATAATCAAACGCCCATGTTTATCTTCCCTGGCTCTGGGAAAGGGTTAGTCGTATCAAAGAAAAATAAATCTAATTCCCTGGAGTGAAGGAAAAAAAAGAAGGGGTTTTGACTGGAAGTTGAATTAAAAGTGTGTTTGTGGATCAGATGGTATCGTATGGGTTCTGCTGAGTTCAATCAAAGTCAAGCCAGGGCGCACTGGGGAGGCCTTTGGCAAAATATCATTCAAACAAACAGGATGAAAAGAGCTGAATGCGTAATGACTTGGCTGAATTGAACGTTACAGCAGCAACAACAACAGATGGTAAATGGATGGAGGGACAGAGAGAGAGAGAGAGAGAGAGAGAGAGAGAGAGAGAGAGAGAGAGAGAGAAAACAGAGAGTAACTGATGTGTTGAGGTAGTGTGTGTGTGTGTGTGTGTGTGTGTGTGTGTATAGGCTTATCTGTATAGGCGCTTGTGTGTGTATACCTGCTGTGTTGGCACACATACACACACACACCAGTATAAAACAAAGTAGAGAAGAGATGTTATTTAAGTGTGTGATGTACTGTGTCCAGTTTCCCATCCTTGTTTGACTCAGTTTCAAGTTATTGATCGAATAAGGGCCTCTCTGTTACCCTGCCGACAGACCTGCTATTGGATATCTGACCTGTGAGTGGTCGAGCTCTTACTTGGCTCTTATTTCTGTGACAGATGAGGCCAAAGGCTAATGGAGACCATAATGCGATCCGTACCCCCGGTGAGTTTCATCCTGTCATGCTAGTTTCACGTTGGAGTTTTTTTTTTTTTTTGGTAGTCGATAGTTGATAGTGTAGCGCGGTAGCACTTACATGAGCTCTACTGGCAGCTGCTAAACACCGCAAGACAGCAGGGAAAACACAAAGATAGCTTGATGAGTGATTGAAGTGAAAGATGTGGTACTACTGTAATAACTGCAGTGTAATGGGTAGGGGGTGTTTTTTGTCTGGTGTACTAAGATGAATGACGACGTAGAAATAGGACTAAGTCATCTTAACTCAAGGTTCACTTGCTAGCTTTTTCCGGAGATTTGAACTACATGTCTTTGTCTTCACCACTGAAGACTGTGGGCTGTGTTTGAAAACTAGTAAGTGGTTTTTGAGTTGAGATCATTTTGTCAAATTGCTTTGTAAAAAATTTACTTTCAGAGTCAGGCAGTAGCAGTAGTAAGCCTATGAATGTAATGGTTATCCAGGTACATTTTGTTCTGTATATATACAGTATATATGTATGTGTGTGCATTTCAATATAATTGAATGCACCGGGAAGTTTAGACTATTGTTGGAACTAAAATGATCTAGGTGCATTAAACATCAAACTGTGAAGACTTGATTAAACAACTTGACAAAAATAATCTAAAAATGCAAGACTAAAATTTGACTAAATTGTTTAACTTTTCATTGTGTAAAGCATGAAAAAATATATTTTACACTGTACTTTTGTCAAAAGTCGATAAGAACATCAGAATCATGTTTTTAGTTTAAAGGTGCTTAATATGAGAATTAATTAATTTACATATCTTTTTCCTCTTAACGGCTATCAGCTAACATGTGCTCACAGCGCTAACAGTGCAAACAATACAAGAACAAGGTTAACAGTGGTTACCTGAGGAGGAACCAGAAGGTGGGGGATAAGCTTTGGTGGAAACACTGTCGGTCAGGACGGCGTTATCAGCTGTAAGTGCCGTATGAAAGCAGTGCAGAGTGAGCTATAGACTATTACATGCAACTATTGTCTTCAAAAAAATACTTGCATGACCATTTGCACATTGAAACTGTAATATTCACGAACAGTTTCCCAAGTCCACGTCTCTCACATTTCACCCCTCAGCGGCTTATAAAATCACATCTGTAATGCTGCCTGCATCAGAGCGTTTTAGAGGCGAGCCGCTATTTGCGGTTTGAAGCCCTGCGATACATTATGGAATAGCATGATGGGATTTCAAGTGTGCACTCTGCCTGGAGTGTGGTGCCCCTCGTTAGTCTAGTATTTCCATTAGCGATACAATGTCTGCCTCCATCCTTATAGATAATAGAGAACCCTTATGTTAGAGAGGCATAGTTAAAGAGTCCATTCAATGAGAACCAATCATGTTTCATAAACGAAAGGCAACAGCAAGCTTTCAAAAGTGTTATTTACACTTGTTACAGAAGTTTTATTTGAATATGTGCCTTAGGTCCTAAAGCCCGACTCTTTAAGTCAAGAATGAGGGAAGTTACACTGATGTATAAAGCTTCTTATTAAGCTTAGGACAAAACACTGGGCTTGCTTCCTTGGCACAATCACTTCTACTAAAATATCTATGTGCTAAACTGTTCTCTTCAAGAGGACTTTTGTGCCAAATTTGAAGAAATTCCTTCCAGGCGTTCCTGAGATATCACGTTCAAGAGAATGGACCGGACGGACAAACCGAATCAGGTAATGCCTCCAGCCACGACTGTCGCCGGTGCAGAGGCATAAAAAGCTGTAATTCATAATGATCCCGACTCCATCTCTGGTTATTCATTGCAAGCAATAACATAATATGCACAATTCATTTTCATTACGCAGTGCTGCAGCTCAGTCAGGCCTTTTGTTTGCCTGCAGATGTCTATCAGTCACTCCGTGCGTCAGTCTGTCTGCTATAACAGAGAGGACGGGAACAGTGAGTCCAGTGAGGAAAGGCTTGGATAATTCCAGTAATGGTAGCCGGGATTCAAAAGAATAAACGAAAGAAAACCAGAAAGATACACATGAAAAAAAAAAGAAAGAAAAACACAGACTGTACCTACAGCTGAGAAAACAGCAGCTCCTTGGTTCTTCATTTTCCATCAGCAGTGCGTTTCTCTCGTTTTTCTCAGCTGTTCAACCATAGCATATCGGCCAAGAGTGAAAATAAGTTGTTTACTATTGAAATCGTCAAACTTTTCCCCGTTCTTTTGTAAAGGAACGCTAAAGGACAATTTATCTGATCAAACGATATTGAATACCTGACCTACAGCCATTAAATTCACCCTTTGATAGCGGTTGGTATAGTATTAACCCCTCTACTGGCACATTGTACAGGACTTTTCAATAGCAAGCAACTAAATTTGGATGCTCTCTTCGGCCCCATGGCATTACGTGACTGACCTGGAAGTTGTAATTCCATGTTTTAGCCTAAATGTAAATACGCCAATAGACACTATTCCTAGAGGCTTGATTTCAACACAACATTTGTTGTTCACAATGTAGCATTATCATGGATTGGCGACTATAAAGCATTAATGAGTTTCTCCCAATCGATATATTGGCTGATAGCGATCGTCCGTAAACCTTAATTTCACAGTACGATGGTCTGAAGGTGTAATCATCGGTTCACATGCAGGCCAAACATGGGGGGATTTGTATGGATCATGAATCAGTTGCAGTCCGTAACAACACTACTTTCATCAGTGGGTCACAGGCTCAAATGTCATTCGGTTATAGATGGGGCCTTTACAGACATTTATTTAATGAAAATCTTTGAGATTCTTCACCTGAAAATGAATTGAAGAACATTTTCAAAGTGATCATCATATGTTCATATTCAGCCTTCCGAAGCCGTGGTTTTACACTCAGTTAATGCCAGTGGT